ATAAATCGGTTGAATTATTAGTTAGCTTCAACATTGGTCAATATACGACCAATTTTATTTCATTTATATTCTCATCTATCTATCCCATTACTTATTGCTATTCTGGATTTTTTGAGATGGTTTTAGTATGTAGCCTAAGCCAGTCTTGAACTCATGATCCTCCTGCCTCTACCTCCCAAGTTCAGGGATTACAGAAGTATACCACCATCCCTGGCCCTATTAGTGATCTCTGAAGTGAGTCCCAGATGACATTTCATTTATAAAGATTTTACTTTGCATTTCCAAAAGATAAGTCTTTTTAAATGAACATGACAATATTATCATCACAATTTAAAATTTAATTTCTTAATGCCAATTCTTCAGTTTGCACTGGGAAGCAAAGAAGAAGGGCAAACATGGCAAATGGATGCTATGTATCTCTAGTGGCCCTCCCTCCCACCTCTTTCTCCTGCCACCTTTCTGTGGAAGAAAATGAGAGATCTATTCTCTAGTTTCCAAGACTTAGATTAGTTGACTGCATTACCATCGTGTGAAGCATGTTCCTATGTCACCTGCATTTCTTTTAACTTTACAGTTAGGGCTAGAGTCTTGATCAGACTCATGAATGCATTTTTTCTTTCTTCAGTAATGTATTCAAAGGTGGAGCTGTGTACCAGGAGGTATGCAATGCCTGGCTTTGCAAGCCACTGACAATCATTGTCTAGACTCTTCAGTTAACTAGGAGTTGCAAAATGGCGTATTATTATATTCTTCCTTTGTGTGTTACTTGCTATATTTATAAAGAACTTTTCCTTATTTCATTATCCTGATATATAGTTCATACAGGAAAAGTAAGACAAATGCTTATTTCTATTATTTTCCAGTCTTCAAAACAATGAGGTGGTTCTGTAGAACTTTCTAAAGGTGACCCATGAATTTTTGTTTTTTTACTTCTCTTTTGCTGGGTAATGTACATGCTAGGCAAGCACTCTATCACTTAGCTATATCCCAGCACAACCCATGAGTTTTTAATCACTATGAACTAATATATTACAGTTATCATCCTACTTGTATTCAAATTGTCCCATCTTTGGTCAGTGGAAGATATTCAGGTTCGCTACTAAGTCCTTTTGTCACAATCTCAACAATTTTTTTTTTATAGCTTTCTGCTCTTTGCTATTTTTATTGTCTTGTTTATCTTTGAAAAAGATACCTAGGCTCATGTTATATATTTCCTTTCCAAGACCTGGGATCAGAGATTTTCCCAAGGAGCACTAATTTCTTTTCGTGGGAAATGGTATTTGGCAACTTCAATTTGTAAATCATTGTAGTTCATTGCTGGGTCATTCATGTAACTAGGCTACTTAACTTTTTTGTTTGTTTGTTTTTGGCAGTACTAGGTTTGAACTTAGGACCTTGGGCTTGCTAGGCAAGTGCTCTACCACTTCAGCCATGCTCCCAGCCCTCATGTTACTAGGCTAAAACCAATCTTTTAACAATTAAAATACTTCATTAGTTTGTACTGATACTTCTAATTCAAAATTAGGGCTATCAGGCCTATTAATTTAATCATACCAAGTTTTTATGGTACTGAGTTTGAACTCAGGATCTTGTGCTTTCCAGGCAGATGATCTATTACTTGAGTCACGCCCTCAGCCCTAATCATACCAATTCTTAATGAGTAAGTAATACCCAATTACTATTTTGACTTCTTCCACAATACACATATAATAGCAATAACTATACCAACACTAGAACACCGATAGCTGGTAATTTTTTTGGGGGGAGGGCAGGTTTTTCTTGTCCTTATGATATAGTTCAGCAAGGGCATATAATTTACCATGCTTAAACATCACTTAATTTTCCTCCAACAGGCCATGCCACCATTACACAGCTAATTTCATTTTCCTTAATATTTTAACTAATTTGTTTATATAAAATGGTAACATTAAATCAGTTAGTAACCTCTTCTCTTTTCCCCAATGTTTTATTACTTCTACTTAACAACAGTAAGAGATGGGTAAGTTTATTCAATGTTTAATAAATACTCCTCCCCTCTCCCAAACATTTTTGAAATTGTACATTGTCTACTTTGTATATTATGCTGCTTCCTTAAGGATCACTTAATTTTATAGGCAAAATAAATGTAACATTAACCATTAGTCCTTAGGTCAAAACATCTTTTTGATTATCTGAAGCTTTTTTTCCTCTTTTTTTTTTGATACAGTTTTATTTACTGATTAAATAAAACACAAGGTTGGCCTTGAACTCACTTAGATCCCAGCCTGACTTCAAACTTGCAATCCTCCTGCCTCAGACTTCTGAGGACTGAGATTACAGATGTTCACCACCCTGTCTGGCTAAAGCTTGGTCTTTTACAGATTCCTCGAGAAGATTCTCAGAAACAATTCCCTGAGTTCTTGAATGGCTGTATTAGTGTAGTCTTTATATAAAATCCTTAGCTTGCTGTTTTCTTTAAATATTCCATTATCTTCTCATGTAAAGCACTGGTAATAACATGGCTTTCTTTCTCTTATAATTTTATGACATGGTATCTCAGAGTTGACCATTCTGAACTGATATTTCTAAGTATGCAATACACCTTTTCAATATATAGTTTTGAATAGTCAACACTTTCTTGAATTGTGGTTTTTAGTATTTGTCCTGTCTATTGCTTTTAGTTTTCTTCTTTGGGATGCCTCATAAACGTGTTTTGTCTTTTGCGGGGGCTATTTTAAATATTTTGTATTCTTTGAGTCCTTTGGCCTCATTTTGAAATTTTTCAATTTCAAAAACTGTCATCCTATTTCTCCTAAAGCTTTATCAATCATATTTTATTATTTTCTACTTTAGTAGAAAAATGCATTTTGATATGATTTTACCTCTAATTCTTTCTTCAGTTCCCTTTTAAAATCTTCCTTGCTCTCTAATCATCTCATTTCTGAGTTTTCTATTTGTTTTATATTCTTCTTCTAAGTCATCTACCACTTTTCCAATTCTTCGTAGTTCGTTTTGAAATGTCAGGTTATAGTTTGTCTGTGGACATGTCTTCTTGGTGGATTTTCATTGCTTCTAGGAATATTTTGCTATTTCTTGTTTTTTATATAATAATTTGTATGGGATTTGACCAAAAATTCTTTCTCTTGCTCATGGGTTAGGTGAAATAAAGTTTCCTTCACTTTTAGGAAGAATGGGTGGATTGCAATTCCTTTTCCAGCTTCAGACTGTATAATTCTCTTGTGTTTTCCCAAAGTGACAGAAGATATTGCCTCTTAAGAGAAGGTTTCAGGGCTAGATGCATGGCTCAAGTGGTAGAGTGCCTGCCTAGCAAGTACAAAGCCCTGAGTTCAAACCCCAGTACTGAAAAAAACAAAACCAAAAAAAGTTTCAGTATCATGAAACTATGACCATTAAATACCTCACATTAAGCTGTGAGTTGCATCTTACATTATTCCCTTCTCAGATTAGCCTGGATGTTGCAGTAAGATACTGTTGTTGATGTTATCATTCGCTGGTAAATGGATGGAATTGGAGAACATCATTCTGAGTGAGGTTAGCCTGGCCCAAAAGACCAAAAATCGTATGTTCTCCCTCATATGTGGACATTAGATCAAGGGCAAACACAACAAGGGGATTGGACTATGAGCACATGATAAAAGCGAGAGCACACAAGTAAGGGGTGAGGATAGATAAGACACCTAAAAAACTAGCTAGCATTTGTTGCCCTTAACGCAGAGAAACTAAAGCAGATACCTTAAAGCAACTGAGGACAATAGGAAAAGGGGACCAGGTACTAGAGAAAAGGTTAGAACAAAAAGAATTAACCTAGAAGGTAACACCCACGCACAGGAAATCAATGTGAGTCAATGCCCTGTATAGCTATCTTTATCTCAACCAGCAAAAACCCTTGTTCCTTCCTATTATTGCTTATACTGTCTCTACAACAAAATTAGAAATAAGGGCAAAATAGTTTCTGCTGGGTATTGGGGGGGGGGGGAAGAGGGAGGGGGCGGAGTGGGTGGTAAGGGAGGGGGTGGGGGCAGGGGGAGAAATGAACCAAGCCTTGTATGCACATATGAATAATAAAAGAAAAATGAAAAAAAAAAAAGATACTGTTGTTGATTCCAACTCTCAGTGATGTCACAATCCAAGTCAGTGTTCCTTCCATCTTTTCCCACACAAATTCTGATTACCATGAGGGTCCAAGGTTCACAAGGTGCCCACATACTGATATTTGGTAGTTCACAGGGGTCAGTTGTCACCAATTTTTGTTTTTTATGTTGACTGTATAATATTTAGTTTTATTATTATAAACTGTACTGCTTTTAATAGTGGGATTGCAGTAGACTAAAAAATGATGCCATGTTAATTTACCAGAATCCCTATAACTCATTTTTTTGGTCATTTGCATATTTTTAGTTTTGCATACAATTTTAAACTCATGAAATACATTTTACTTCTGTCTTTGTTGCTTCTCCACAGTTTGAATTGTACCAAGGTACTTTTTAAACTAGCCTATCTTCATTTTTTTTTTTTTGGAGGTACTGGCGTTTGAACTCAAGGCCTCACACTTGCTAGGCAGGTACTCTACCACTTGAACCACTCTGCCAGTCCCCATCTTGATTTCTTAATGCCATTAAATTTCTGGGCTCCAAATGTTTATCTTTCCCTCTTCTTTTCGAGGAGGATTGAACTCAGGGTCTTGGGCTTACCAGGGGAGCACTCTAGGACTGGAAGCCACATTCCCAGTCCTTTTGCCTTTATTTTCCAAATAGGTTCCCATGCTTTTGCTTGGCCAGCCTCGACTGCAATACTACTACCTTTGCCTCCCAAGTAGCTGGGATTACAGGTGTGCACCACCACTAGGTTTCTTTCCCTCTTCTTAAATCCTTGAATTAACTAGATTTTATGAAAATTTTAGGACATGTTATCAAAATTAAAATTGGCAAGAAATCCAAAAAGAAACATTTAAAATTGTAATATTCAATCAGGAGGAAGTTAATTTACTTAGCTAAAACTACCTTATATCAACAAGAGAGCATTCCAAAGATAATCTTCCCATTGTCTTTAGATTTTCTCGAAGTTCTCTTAAACAGTTAATATTCACTACTAGTTCAACACCCACATCATACAGCAAGACCTGTGAAAAAAATAATTTTAATTCTGTGTAAAGGTAAGATTTCAAGTTTTTGAAAATTAAAAATGTAATAAAATTGAATGAACATAGAAAAAAAATTCAACATGTATTCACTTTCACAATACTTAAAACTGCATTTACCTCTACCAATGTGTCTGTAACCATTTTGACGATCTGGCCTCTCCGCCACTGATTTTTATCTGGGACCTTAACAGCACAGTGCATGTCATTTTCCCATTTAATAGGTTCCCACTGTGAGTTTTCATAAGCAGCTATCATCTTTTCTTCTAAGCTAAACAACAATAAAAAAAGTTTAACTTTCTAAATTTTCCTTATATAATTCTCTGACCACATAGTTTTCTACTGTCCACCCCCCCACCATGCCATCAGTCTACTCTGGCCAAACTGGACATCGTGTTCTTTGAATAGGCCACAGGCCTTTGAACTAGCTCTTCCCTCTCCTGAGATGGACTTCCCTCAGATTCCCTCAGGGCTTACTCTCTCTGGCCTCCATGGCCCATTTCAAATGTCATTGTCTCTGTGAGGTCCTCCTTGACCACTGTAAGACTCCTTCCTCCCCCAAATGCCCTTATCGCAATCTACCATACGGAGTTTTATTTGCTCATCTCTATCTGCTAGAATTTAAGCTCCATGACAAGAAAGAATTGTCCATGTTTTTACCACTGCTATCCCTAACACCTAAATATAGACTCTCATTGCTCAATAACTATTTGTGGAATAAATTCTAATATTGTGAAAATAACCAACAAAGATAACTATTTTATGCTTTTAAGCAGTTTAGAGACTTAGTTGAAACAATTTTGCTACTTCCAAAATTCTACATTTATGACTTCTAGATCTGTGAAACAAAGTGTAAGAAGAATAAAATCATAATCAATATGTTTTCATTATATATTATACCTATTAAGTAAGTTTTCTGTTAATAACCATTGAACATAAATCTTTTCAGGAGATACTACATTACAGATATGCACAGGCAGCTCCTTATTATAAAATGACTGGAAATTCTCATTAGGTAGAGATTTTACAGACACAGGACTCAGGTTGTTTGCTTCATCAGAAATAATTTCTTCTGGAGAAGGGTCCCATACTTCAACATGTTTTTTAGAATTATCTTTGAGGGTGTATCTGAAAAATAACAAATGTTAGCAGAAAAGAATAACTAGCAAAGTATTTATGTTTGTATTTGCTTAGGTTTAGAATTGAACAAGTTTCAGCTATAATTTGCTACTTCCCAGTTTTAATATTAATAGTAATCACTTAATTTAGTCATCTTTTAAAAAGAGTGCTTAACCTACAAAAAAAGCAAGCACAAAATAAAAAATACCAAACACCAAGCTTTCTATCTTAAAAAATAGTTTAAAATGCTGACTTCGTTTATAACTTCATCTCTTATGATGATATTCTGCCCTTACAAAGGAGAAGTCAGTTTGACTACCTGAATATATTATCTTTGGCTGAAAAGAATCAATCTGTTTGCCAATGAGAATACAACTACTATCAAAATCACTGATGTTGAAAAAATGGATTATACTCTAGTTGCAGATAACCAGATTATTTTATTTGAATAACCAAAAAGTTTAATTACTTTTACAATAAACAAACTTAGCTCATGAAGGTGACTAACAATTTTTTGTTGCTAAATCCAATGGACAATTTTTAGTTCTTTTTTGAACTCTCAGCAATAGCTACTCTTCCCTTCTTGAAATACTCCCTGATTTATCATCTTTTGAACCTGTCTGTCCATGTAATAGTCCAAGGGTTGCATCTTCACTAAGAGAGTGGAATGAATGATAGGAGATAATTTCATTCATTCTCGTTTATTCATTTATATGCTGCTAATGCCATTTAAATCATTTCACCAGGTCTCTTTTCTGAGCACCAGATTTATGTATTTCCTCCGTTCTACTAATATTTACTGGGTATGTATTATGAGCTAGCACAGTACTAGCTAATGGCCATGAAGACAATAGGCAGTTTATAGTAAAGTAGTCCTCACTCATTCCAGAGGGATGTTTTGAGACTCCCAGTGGATACTGGAACCACATATGTATGGCACCAAACCTAATATATACTGGTTTTCCATACACAGATACCTATGATATCGTTCAATTTATAAATTAGGAATAGAGATTAACAGGAAAAAGTAGCTGGCTAGGCATTCCAGGAACTGACCAAAACAAACAAACAAAAAATCATGTAGCTTTGACATACTAAGCCAATAGGAAATGGCATGGGATCTGAGACAGTCAGGGGTCAGACTAATTGAGCAACATTATTTTTAATTATAAAGGATGGTAGGCAGTGTGTATGACACAGTGAAGTCTAGTAAAGACTCTAGTAGGTAGTGGCATTTCTTTTTTTCTTCTCAGTCCTCAGGTGGTCAGGGTAGTCACTGACCAAAGCTCACACTGTAATCTGAGCACAGGCAGTAGATACAATGAGCATGGTGAGCTAGACAAGAAGCCAAGAAAATTGGACAGGGGCTTCCAGAGCACTACAGGTGGATTTACTTAAATGAAGTTCAAGCTTAAGGACTCCTCTCTTGCATTGGTCCCTTGGGAGGGACCTAACAGTGTGTCTTTTGAAAAATTTCCCAAAGACTACATTTTTTCCAATATTTAAAACTGTGCTAAACAAATGTAACATAAAATATACTAACTTAACCATTTTCAGTGTACATTTCAGGGCATTAAGTATAGTCATATTATAAAATCGTCACCATCATCCATCTCCAGAATTCTGCACTTATCTTACAAACCTGAAGTTCTATTAGTAACAGATTCCTATTTTCTTCCTATCCCCACAGCTGCTAGCAACCACCATTCTGTCTGATTGTGAGTGAGCATCTCATGTATATGGAATCATACACTATTGGGCATGGCTCTCTGATGGTTTATCTTAATATGGTACTGTGTTGGGATTTCCCTTAAGGATGAACAAAATTCCTTTGTGCAAATTATATTTTCCTTATCGCTTTTACCACTGACAGATGTTTAGGTTGCTTTCATGTTTTACTTACTGAGAACAGTGCTATTATGAAAATGGAAGTACATGTCTCCTTGAGACTCTAATTTCAATTCTTTCGGGTATATGCCCAGGAATTAGTAGACAATATAGTCATTTTATTTTAAACTTTTTGAGAAGCTTGCCAATGCTTATTATTTTTAAATATTACATATCCAATGGGTGTGAGATGGTATTTACTGGTGGCTGACATGCATTTTCCTAGTGATTAGTGATGCTGAACTTTTTTTCATATGTTTATTGGCCATTTGCACATCTTCCTTGGAGACATAGCTATTCGAGTCCTTTGTCCATTCTTTTTTTTGTAGTGCAGGCTAGCCTCAAACTAATGATCCCTCTGCCCCATCCCTGAGTGCTGGAAGTATAGAAGTGACCACCATGCCCAACTCTGCCATTTTTTAATTGTTTTTTGTGGATGAGTTTTATAAGTACTCTCTATGTTCTAGAAAAGAATCCTTTCACAGATACAGATTTGAAAAATATTCTCTCCTATTCTGTGGGTTGCCTTTTTACTCTATCACCAGCACATTTAGATGCAAAAAGTTTTAAATATTCATAAATTTCAACTTGTATTCTATTGCTTATGCTCTTATTGTCTATGAACAAAACCACTGTCAAATTCAATGTCGTGAAGATTCTACCTTATGTTTTGTTCTAAGAGTTGTAGTTTTACATCTTACATCTAGGTCACTGATCATTCTGAGTTAATTTTTATGTGGTGTTAGTAGGGTCCAATTTATTTCTTCTAAACATGAATATGCATGTTCCCCCCAGTGCCTTTTGGTTAAAATGACTGTCCACTGTATAATTCCGGAACTTCTGTTGAGGATCAACTAATTATATATGAGCGGGTTTGATTCTGGTTCCAGATTCTACTCTGTTGGTCTGTATCTTTCTGCTGGTACCACACTACTTTTTTTTCCCTCCAGTATTGGGGCTTAAATGTAGGGCCAAACACTTGCTAGGCAAGTATGTTACCATCTGAGTCATGTCCCATGCCCTTTTGCTTTAGTTTTTTTCTTGCTTTTCTTTTTTGCCTTGGATCATAATCTTCCTACCTCTACCTCCTGAGTAGCTTGGATTACAGTCCTGAACTTTATTGAGACAGAGTCTCCTTAACTTTATGCCCTAGGGTACCCTCAAACTATAATACTCCTATCTCTCTCTCAAGTAGCTATAATTACAGGTATGTAGCACCTAGCATACTGTTTTGATTCCTAAAGCTTTGTAGTAGTTTTGAAATCAGCAATGGCTGGATCCATTGCTTTGGGCCTGAGGTGAGGCAGAATATCATGTTGTCAGGAGTGTCTACTCTCTTCATGGTGGCCGGGAAGCAGAAGGAAACAGAAAAGGGTCCAGGAAAAGATACAGCCCTCAAAGACACTCTTCTAGTGACCTACATCCTCCAACTTGACCACATCTCTAGAAAGTACCATCATCTCCTAATAAGGCTATCAAATTATGAATCCATCAATGAATTAATTCACTAATCAGGTCAGGGCCTCATGATCCAATTACTTCTCACCACCTAGGGAATCAAAGCTTCAACACATGAGCCTTTTGTGGGGATACTCATGTCTAAATTATAACATGTATTGACTTTGTACCCTGCTATTTTGCTTCATTCACTTATTAGTTCTAAGAGTTTGTGGACTCTTTTATGGTTTTCCACATAGAAGACCTTATTATCTGTGAACAGAGATAATTTTACTTTTTCCTTTCCATGTTAGATTCCTTTTCTTTTTCCTGCCAACAGTTCTGGCTCTAACTTCCAGTACTCTGTTGAACAGAACTGGTGAAAGTGGGAATTCTTGCCTTATTTCAGATCTTAGGGGAAAAGATTTTCACCACTAAGTATGATTGTTTGAAATCTTTCTTCTTCTTAACATAGGCATTTATCACTACTCTCTTAGAACTGGTTTTGCTTTATCCTGTTAATTTTTTATATGCTGTGCTTCCATCTTTGTTTGTCTCAGAATTTTTAAATTTCCCATTTGATACCTTCTTTGACCCACTGACTGTCTAGGAATGTGAAAGCATCAACGCTGGTGGAGTGACTCAAGTCATAGAGTGCCTGCGTAGCAAATGTAAGGCCCTGAATTCAAACCCCAGTACTACCAAAAAAAAAAAAGCATTTGGGCGGAGTGTGGTGGTGCATGTCTGTAATCCTAGTTACTCAGGAGGTAGAGGTAAGAGGATTAGAATCTAAGGCCAGCTGGGCAAAAGCATGAGATTCTCTCTGAAAAAGCAAACTAAAAGCAAAAAGGACTGGGACATGGCTTAAGTAGTAAAGCACTTGCCTAGTAAGTAAAAGGCCCCAAGTTCAAGCTCAAGTATCACCAAAAATAAATAAATAAATAAATAGAAAACATTGAGGAATAGTTCTCTACTACTTTTCAAGAGGGAGCTTTCATCAATATTTAATAACTCTGGAATTAAAAAACAGAAGCTCAGCGAGGTACCAGTTGGTGAGTCACACCTATAATCCTAGCTATTTGGGAGGCTAAGATCAGGAGGATCACAATTCAAGGCTGGCATGGGAAAATAATTCATAAGACCCTATCCCCAAAATAACCAGAGCAAAATGGACTAGAGGTGTAGCTCAATCAGTAGAGCATATACTACACAAGTACAAAGCTCTGAGTTCAAACTCCAGTCCCACCAGAAAACCTCCAAACCCAGAAGGTCCTGATAATGGAGCTTTCATAAAAATCTGTTCAGTAAATGGCCACTATAAGTTTCAAAGCATATTACTAAAAGCATATAGTAATAACCATTCTGATTTTTTAAATTATATTTTGTGAATAGAAACAGTATAAAGTATCACCTGGCTATTTCTTATAAAGTTAAAACTCCCCTTACCTTACAACCAGAAATCCCACTTACTTACTCAAGAGAAAATAGTATGTTGATACAAAAACCTGTGTACAAATGTTCACAGCAGTTTTCTTCATGAAACTCTCCCCCCAACACACAAACTGTAAATAACCCAAATGTTCATTAATTGATGAAGGAACCAATTAAGATACTAATTAGCAATAAAAAGAAACAATCTACCGTGACATGGAAAATCTCAAAATCACTATGTTAAATGAAAGAAACCAGATACAAAAGGTATCATGCTGTATTATTTCATTTATATGAATTGTGGGAAAGTTGGAAAATAATCAGAGCAGTGGTTGCTAGGGTTGACTAGAGGAAGGGGATTGACTACAGAGGGCAAAGGGAACTATGTGGGGTGATGGAAATTCTTGACCATGATGAAAAAAACAGCTCTACATGTTTGTCAAAATTCATTTAACTATACATATTACAGAGTGATTTTTTAAACTTTATATAACTATACTTCAACAAACCTGACTTTAAAAAGAAAAACTCAGTACAATATAGTTTAAATGTTTACTCTCATTTCTTTCCCTCCCTTGTTTGAGACTTGTATTGGAAAAGGGACAGGCTCTCCTTCCTCTTCTGTTTCTTGCTCCTCCAATGTGAAGGCAGGCAGATAGAGCATGAGCATAGACCTTTAACACTAGTAGGAGAGTCACTGTAGGACTCTGATGGGTATCACTATTTCTCTGGCTTACTCTGACAGGCATAACATATGGGTACCATACAAATACTACAAATAGGAATGTGGACTACTCTACCATTATGCTTATTCTCTATCCTGTCATTTCTTTTCCCAATTCCTTTTCTAAAATGGGCACAAAACAGATGTTCCATCTAGAAATAGGATGCTAATCTCTTTTTCTTCAGACTTGATCTTGAGAAGCCTTTCTCTTGGTTTTAAGGTTCCTTAGAGATGAAGGAAAAAACCACTCTATTTTCTGTTAGACTAATGACTCCAATTATTTTTCTTTTTTTTTCTGATGTAGGAACAGGGACAGTTCAATTTCTCTTCTTGTGATTAAAATGTTACATATAAATTAAAAATGGAGGTTTACTTGTGTACTTACCCTACTTCATAAGCTGCTAGGCCTTCTTTGACAAGCTGGTCATTAATACTAGTAGGAGTCATTCCAGGACTGCCATGAGAATTGAAAAGCTCTACCAACAGTACATTGTCTTCCAGAGTTTCTGTAAAACCAATAAGACTAGTTTGGGCAAAGAAATAAATGTGTTGTAAAATATACTAAATGAGGCAGTTTCCTTAAAAAAATTGAAAACATTTTCTATCTTTTGCATACATGAGATTTCTTGCTGAATGTCACAGTTTCTCTCTAGGGGTTAAAACATTATTTTGAAATCAAAATGGTCAGTAGTACCTGTACCACGTATAAATTTTATTTTAGGTTAATGTGTGTTATTTGTTCTATATGAACCAAAAACAGTTTAAGATTTTAGATTCATAAAAGTATAAACATGTATTTTAATAGAAGCATTCTGTTGTGTTTGTAGGGTTTTTTTTAAATAGAATTCAGTAAAGTAACAAAAGGACAAAAATGAATGAAAGTTAACTCAGGCTGGTAATTATCTGTGAAGATTTATAACTTTTATAAGTATAAAATGTAGTTTTTATAAGTGTACAAAGTTTAAAACAACAAAAACTCAATCTAGAACTCTTAACTGGTTTTTTCCTATTCCTTTGTGTCTTAGGACTAACTTTTCCTTTAGAAAACTAAAATTGGTAACTTATTTATCAGATCTACATTGGTAAGTCAATTGAGGGTAGAACTTTTATTTCATGTGCCTATTTATTTATGGTTCAAGGCACTTGCCCAATAAGTACATGAATAAAAGATACCAAATTTGCTTAGGAAACCTACATCTATGAAATATGCACTGAGATCAACATATGCCTATACATTTATACTAAAGCAGCTAGGAGCTGCTAGTCAGAATGATTCCAAATAAAAAGATAACCATGCCAGGCGCCAAAGGCTCACGCCTGTAATCCTAGCTACCTAGGAGGCATAGATCAGGAGGATCACGGTTTGAAGCCAGCTTGGGCAAATAATTTGTGAGACCCTATCTTAAAAAACCTTTCACAAAAATAGGACTAGTGGAGTGGCTCAAGGTGAAGGCCCTGAGTTCAAGTCCCAGTACTGAAAAAAAATAAAAGATAATCATTACCAGTAGTAGCATAAAAATAAGGAGTACATAAAAGAGAGCTTTTTTTATATTTAATTCCTGTTGGAGTGTTATGTTCTAGTCTTCTTTGCTTCATGATTTTTTTTATGGGGCATATTTACATTCTTCACCTGAAGAAATTTGATTCTAACTTATAGTTGCTTTGTATAGCTGTTGGATTCTTTTTGTTATCGTTCATGATGATATACAGGATTTTTGTAAGTCAACAGTAATAAACAATTTTGTTGATGTACTGGAGGTTTTGGGGTCTTAAAGATTTCTTAAGTGCTTTCTGAAAGGCACTGTAGTTTAGGTCAGTAAGGTACAATAAATAAATAAGGACAAATTTATGGTGATAAATAGGTCTGTGTGTTGGTCACTTTTTCTGTTGCTGTGAAAAATGCATGAGAAAAACGAAGGGCAGAATTATTTACTTTGGCTCATGTTTTCAGAGGTTTCATTCCATTGTGATGGAGAGAGCACAACAGAGCATAGGAACTCGCATCATGGTGGCCACGGTGAGAGAAAGAAAATGCCTATGCTCTAAAAAGCTTTTTTAAAAAGAGCTGGCTACTTATTTTGGGCTGATGGAGTAGCTTAAGCAGTAGAGCACCTGCCTAGCAAGCACAAGGCACTGACTGAGTTCAAACCCCGCTATCACTAAAAGAGTTGGTTACTTTTTAATGGACCAGATAAATTATCTAGAAAGGAACTGCTAAGTAATGTTGAGCCTCAATAAACTTTGTTCCTCTTACTTTCCTAATTCTCAACACATATTGTCTCACTGCTACTCCCAGCACATTGAATTTATTCTAAGATATGACAAATGTTATAGAGTGTCAGTCTTATTTAAAACTATGTATGATTATATAATAAAATGAAAATAGCTTACTAATAACTGAACATGTCATAAATTTATCTTGAGTCTTTTCTTCAAATTTTTCTTTAGCTTTTTTGGACCACTGCATTGTTCCTTCACATGGTTCAATATATGCCAGCTTACATTTAATCGCCTGGGTCAAACAAAATTCCACCATCAAGAAAGTAAACTTAATTTCTACTTATTTTCGAATTAAGGTTTTATACATATGTAGAAAATGAATCTTTATGTTACTCAGTGGTAGAGTGTTTGCCAACTATGCTTGAGGTCCTAGGTTCCATATGCAGCACTGCAACCCCCACCTCAAAGCACAAACTTATCTTTGTGTCTGAATTTAGAAACAATCAAATGTGTGAAGATGTCTATTAAGTATTCTATAAATGAAATTTATGACTAGAATCAACTAGTATTTGATTCAATTAATTATTGTACATTTATAAATTAGACTAATAATATTCATTTAAAAAATTAGATACTTGTGCTGCATTGCTAATTGAGAAATGCAGGTTTATAGGATTCATTTGTAGTCTGATTCTATAATTGTTAGAAACACAATACATCCTGTAGTAAATATACAAGAAATGAGCAACATTTTTGAGTGATTCCTTGGCTCAAATGTATATTCAAGTTTCATTTCCTATAATACTACCCATTTCTCAAATGGTAAAACATGGCTTAATAAAAACTTAAATAACACAGGAGAATATAAATTAGAAATACACCTCCTTTGTATCCTTCTCTAGGCATTATACTCTCCAGAGATCAGGAGGTTAAGTTTTTTACATAGTCTCCCAAACTTTTTTTCCTCTTGCAGATACATATTATATATACTTAAATATACATGAGAGCAAAGTAATGTCACTTCTGTGATATGTTTTTTTCATTCAATGTATCATGAAAGTGAAACTCTACCACATTAGATGATATCGAAAAATGATATAGTAAAAGCTGCAGACCGGCAAATATGAAAACACAAATACACATACATGTTTGTAATTAATACTGTAATGAATAGTTAACATTTCTACGGAAAAAGGACTTCTAACAATCCTTTCATATTTCTGTTAATATTCTAACTCCAGTAATCATAGCAAGTAGATTACCTTCTCTGGGGGACTCAAAAACTCATCCTTTATTTTACGCATTTCTTTAAGTGTTATTTTTGCAGTGTTTCCAAAGTCCACATATTTAACTTCAACTTCCCGATGTCCAGGCAATCCTTTAAAAATTATGAAAAAAGAAATCACAAACTTAAAGACTGGTTTCTGTACTTTATTTATTTACTCATCTATTTTTTTGGCAGTATTGAGGTTTGAACTCAGGGCCTCGCACTTGCTAGGCAGGTGTTCTACCACTTGAGCCATATCCCCAAGCCAGGTCTCTGTGTTTTAAAGAAATCTTTGGAAGAGTCAAACACACAAAAGTTTGAATAAATACCTATTAATACACTGACCTTTTTGAAATCACTGAAAATATATGGTTAGTTTTATTCTCTCTTAGCACACCTATGTATGGGTGCTATGAAATTTGTTGCTATCATTTTCAAATTTAAAGACTAAAACAGAATATATCATTTCAATATGGGAACCAGTATAGCATTCTTTACTACTTAGCAGAAGTAGAAGCAGGTGGCACAGCTCTGGTGCTCATGATGGCACTTCATACAACTTAGACCCCATGACACATCTGGGATCATTGAGAAGACATGTTATTGCAGGTATAAGGCCAGAACATGGGGAATCTCTCCCTACTTCCTACTGAATCTCCGGACTAGAAAAATATTCCCATTCTTCCAATGTCATTAGATTCTTCTCTTCAAGACTGAATGGAAATATAGTGTTAAACAAACAAAATGGATGGATATGGGATGGAATTTAACAAACATTGTTTTTTAACCCAAATTATCAATCACATTGATAATTCACATATCAATCACATATGTGAACAGAGCCAGCAGACCTGGCAAATCTCACCTTTACCTCCCATTTATTCTTTCTGAGAAAACTACTGAAAGATGGAGTCACCAAAATAAAGGAGTAAACTTAAGTGGTAAACATGGGATCCAGAAAACAAGATACCCAATATGGGAGACCATGAAGTGTACTGTTAAGTGACATAAATTCCTAGAATAACAAATGTGTAATAAACCTGGAGACAAAGCATTTCAAGTGGAAAAAAACAGAAGAATGCTTCTATGGTTCAAAAAAAAGTATCAAACTAAATTATCTGAGAAGTTTAATCATGTGAAAAACTGTTTTCAAGTATTAGGAAAATGTAACCAAAAATTAAAATAAATTAACACAAGTGAAAAATCAACACCATTATCAACTCAGAAGTAAACAAAGTATACTTTATAGCTCAGCAGTGAAAATATTTATAAGAAAATGGATTTAAGTAAAAATTGTGATATAAGATTAGGGGGTGGGAAAGGACAAAAGGGCTAGAGAGAGCGCTAAGACTCTTATCTCAAAGAATAACAACAGATAATGTCTAAAACTGAAGCATTCATGGACTTCTCTATTGTCAGAAGAAGTAACACAGGTAAATACCAAGAGAAACAAAACCAAACAAAAAAACCTTCCAAACAATTACAAGAATGAAAAGTAATTAGATTCAAGGAGAGGAGTGAAGTGCCTAAGTCTTTTAGCATTATTTAACTTTTAAATGAGGCAGACATCAGAAAACAACAACAGAAAAGCAACCAAGTCTGATCTTCAAGGTATAGAGTATTAGGGCTATGGAAGGTGCAGGAAAACAGGTGAGCTAAGTCACATGTGCAGTTCTATTACCACCTTCAAAGTCATCACAGAACTATCTTCTCCAAATGTTATTCCTCAAAGATTTCAGCAGCCTTATCGTTCGTCAAATAAATTCTTTGAAGCAAACAATTCTAATTTGAAAAGTAGTTTCAAAGTCCTTATACGTCATGAAAAATGTCTTATTTTTTCCATAGATACTTATCAAAATATACACTGATATCTATGGTTTGAATGTTTCTGTGCCCTCCAAAATTCATGTTGAAACTTAATCCCCAATGTGACCTTGAGAGGTGACTGAGTTCTGAGGACTCTGTCCTAGCATATGAGATCAGGTGCCTTGTAAAAGGATCTGGTGGAGGGAAGTTTGACTGCCTTTTGTCATTTAAGGACATAACATTTGTTTCTTCTGGAGGATATAGTAAAAAGTCTACATCTTGGAATCAAAGACCAGGCTCTCAATAGTCAGGGCCTTGGTCTTAGACTTCCTAACCTCCAGAACCATGAGAAACAATTTTCTATTGTTTATAAATTACCTGGTCTGTGGTATTTGTTATAGCAGCAAAATAGACTAAGATGTTCATAAGAACTATATTTGAAAAAAATCTTCAGGTAGTTCAAGACACTAACCACTAGCTGAATTAAAATCGGTGATGGACAGAAAACAGACTGGAAGACTAAAACAGTTTTGACACAAGATATGTATGTTCTGCATATTATAAGTAACAGGTAAGAATCTTAGATTACTTCAATAATGGGAAAAAGCATCTTAAACATTGTCAAACTAAACTAACTTTATCCTTTTCACGAAAATATATATATATATTTATATATATATTTTAATTTTAAATTTATATATATATATACAGACTAGACAGCCTGTAAAAAGAACATGGCTTAGTCCATTTCCTTCTGCTTTAATAAATACTTGATGCTGGTAATATATAAAGAAAAGTGGTTAATTTTGGCTCAGGGTTCTAGAGTTTGGAAAGTCTAAGACTGGCACACAAACGTGGCTTTTGATATGGGCCTTCAACTCATATCAGTGGACAGTTGAAGGGCAAGTGGATACATATGAGAGAGGCAAAAGCGAGAGGCAGCCTGGCTTTATAACAACCCACTATCTTGGTAACTAGTCCAGTCCTGCACGAGCAGGAACTCAATCTACTCATGCAGGCTCTGCTCCCATGGCCCAAACACCTCTCACTAGGCTCCACCTCCCAATATTGCCACACTGGGGACTAAGTCTGGACATGAATTTTGTTGGCAAAAACCACAGCAGAATAATATAATGGGTTACATTGCCTATGGTATATCCAACCTCTGAAACCACAAAGAGGTGGTAACCACAAACTTTTTATTTTTATTTTTATTTTTGTTGCTTCATTTTCATCAATCTTCTGTATCCAATCCCACTTTAAAAAAAATTATTTTGAGTTATTTTCTACTTAAGAATGTAGAAAGCATAGATAAAGACACTGAGAAAAGTAATAATTCCCAAGAAAGAGGAATAGTAAATCAGAAGTTAAGAGGACACAAACAATTGGATCTTCAATTTGTACTTAACAACAACATTAGAGGGAGGGGATAGGGTAGGTAAGGGAGGGGATGGGGGGGAAGGGGGAGAAATGACCCAAACATTATATGCATATGAACTTAAAAAAAAAGAAAACCAACAACAAAATAGCAAAGGACAGACACTATGAAGCTAGAGGTCACCAGATTTTGAGTACTTAACTTTCTTTTTTGGTGGCACTGGGATTTGAACTTAGGGCTTTATACTTGCTAGGCAGGTGCTCTACCACTTGAGCCACTCTAGCAGTCCCTTTTTTGTACTGGGTATTTTTGAGATAGGGCCTTGCAAACTCTTTGCCCAAGCTGGTTTTGAATCATGGATATCCTCCTGATCTCTGCCTCCTGAACAGCTAGGCGTGAGCCACCAGTGCCTGGCTAAATACTTAACTTCTGCTGCTTTGTATTATCTACTAGTTTTCTAGCTAGATTTGTAATAGTTAAGTCCTAATCAAGTCAAATGGTATTTGGGAAGCCAGAGATTCACCTATCAACATTATCACTACCTTTCTAAAGACTGATGACAGAGCAAATGGTAAGATCAAATAATGCTTTTAAGGTTTAATTTGTATCAATTCAAATAATATTATTCACATCTCTGTGAAAACAGTATGCACTGTCCTACCAGTGACTTTGGCTCGGTACCAAACTCCATCTTCAAATTTAGCTACACAGGCTTGATCTTCAACTGGACAGAGGATTTCCAGACTTTCCCCATCTTCACCTTTATAAAAGTCCTCAATTGCCTTTAATAGAAATAAAAAATCCAGGTTCTCTATCTAAGAAAGAAAGGAATAAAGCACTGTAGTTTCATAGAAAATTAAAATTTAAATGTTGAACATATTATAGGCACTGTTCATAAAATTATGAAACATTAAACTAGACATAAAGTATAAATCCATCAATTATGTGTTATGTAATTTATTTTAGGAATATTTTATTGCAGAAGCAGTATAAAAGTAGCATATGTGAGCACAATGAAAATAAAACTACATTCTGCTAAATAACTTGGTGTATATTCTTCTAGATTTTTTCTGTACAAACTCTCCAAACTTTTGTGTTTACTAAAACTAGACCACACTATACATGAAATTTAGCAACCAGCATTTTTAACAATTCTCATGCTCTCTTTTTGTAAGTGTTTTATTAGTGCTTCCAGACCATATTTAGTTTTCCTTAAATGATCTGAATCAGTATCCAAGGCAAGATTATACTGTTTCTGGTTGTTATTGCCATAGCTTCTTTATATGCCAGCATGTCCCTTTTTAAAATGGCCATGTTCTATTGAAGAGATCTGGCTCTATTTCTACAGAATGCCTCACCTTCCAGATTCTTGTGGTTATCCTCATGCTGTTATCTGGCTTATTCCTCTACTGACCAAGGTCTACCTGCTGAATTTCTCCAAAGATCAACATAATACCTTAGGTATGATAGATATAAGTCAAACCTTTTTGGCTAAACTATACTATAGTTGACTTTGTACACAGGTTGCAACAAATCAGAAGATATAAGCTTTACTGACTTATTTTTAATGTGCTAAAATTCATCTATTAATCAGGGTGATGATTTTGACCCTTGCAGTTATGCTTCTCCACTTGTGGCTACCAACTAGTTCATGATGTTACTTTGACATCAGAACAATGTCCTACTTGTTATCAATCATCCGTCTAATCATTTTTAAGTAAATTAATAATTCTTCCTTAAATCATTTGTGAAATTTCTGCATTCTTGAATAAAACAGACTTCTCTTATTGAACGGGACTATTTGGTATAGTCTGAAAATGCTATTTGTACAGTTCCCATGTACCAAAAATATCAAGTATGTTTGGTTAGGTTTCAAAATACAAACCATTAAGGTTTAAAATATCTTAAAATCCATCTCCAAGGGAAAAATGAGGCTATTCTCTTTTTGTGAATATAATGATGCGAATGGAAAATTTCCGAACGAACACACACACACACACACACACACACACGTGTGATACTAACAAAATAGCAAACTAGGGAGCTCCAAATTCTTGTTCAAACACAGAAATACTGAAAAAAATAAGAAATTGTCTAAACCAACTTTCTCAGAGTTCCGGAAAGCCGTCAAAAGTTTATAGCAACCAAGTAAGTCCAGTCAAGAAAAATCCATCTTTTAAATTGTAAGAAAATTTTGTAGAAGTTCTACTTGTCCTTGCCTGACCCCCTCTTCAGAATGTTGCTAGTCTTGGTTTTGAGCAGTGGAAATTCAGTTTTCCATTCCTTCCCTTGAAGCAGAGAGAACACACTAGACCTAATATGCAAATTACTGAATGCATGTGTTATAACTTGTTTGGGAGATACTTATAGGCTGATGCAAGGTGCTCATTTCTGATTCATGTAACTTGGAACGCAAGATGAAAAACTGGGAGGTACCAGGTTGGAAAAGCCACAGAAGGGATTATAAATTTAGATGCCTAGGGCAAGAGTTTATGGTTGTGCTTTGGTTTAGATATCATTTGAGGGAGTCTCCCAAGGCTTAATGTGTTGACATTTAATCCTCATTATGAGGACATTGTAAGGCTGTAAACTTAATCCAATTGTGGTGTTTAGAGGCAGGGCCTTTGGAGATGAGCCCTATCTCCTGCCATCTGATAGTGGTACAGTGGTATCCGTATACAGCTCTGGGACTGTCAGCAAGGCCCTGATCACAGATGGCCCCTTGACCTTGTACCTCCTGAATGGCGAATCAAAATAACCCTTTCTTTATACTCAATAGTATTATGCTGTTGGCCACAGAACAGGGACTAGTAGCATCCATAATTATGTGAGCCAATTCTTTTAATAAATCTCTTTAAATATGAATAACAGAAAACTGATACTGAAAAAAAGAGCTATTGCTAATAATGAATACATGAAAATGTAGAAATGTCTTTGGAACTGATTAAAAAAAGAGAGTTTAGAAGACTTGTGAGGAGTAGATTGGAAAAAAAAGTCTAGAATGCTGTAAGTGGAGTGTTATTGAGGTAGGAAAGAAAATAGGGAAAGATTGGGACTCTTAAGTCTATATAACTTAAAGCATTTCAGATAAGGCACTCCCTCACTTCTGTCTACAGAGCCTCTCTTTCAATTGGAAAAATTTTAAGTCACCAGGGTCCCCTTTCAATTGCAAATCCTCTGCTAGCCACAGAGCCAGGCAGAAAAAAACTATGGAAACTTTCATTCTCATGAAGTTAGAGTACCTCAGAATTAGCATTATGCACCTAGTGACTGCAGGGACTGCCCAAATCTTTCCCCTCCCACAGGCTATCAAAGGTTTAAAATGCCTTGAAACAGAACCTGCTCTTTTTTTTCCTGATTCTCTACTCCACCTTGGCAGATGCCACACCACCCTGTGACTCCCCCCGCACCCCCAATAATAAACTCTATTATCTCTCTTACTACGTCTACATGTTCTGCCTGGGTTCTTCCACACAGGATACAAGAATTTAGGAGTCTTTTGATCAGGGATTGATAAAACCTGCAACATATTTGGTGAGCTCAGACACAAGATAATCAGAAGGGAGTCTCCATATTTCAAAATGCCATCTCTGCTATCTGCTCACTTCCTCACTCTCTTCATCTTGAGGCTGCCCTTGGAAGGTAACTCCTCCACCTCCAACCTTCCCAGTGGGAAGCTGAAGGGAAAGGAGAAGGAGGCCCCCGACCTCCTAGCCTGGCTCTGCTCTGACTTACTGCTTCAGTAATGAAACCAAAGGACTGACTGGCAGCTTTGATGAACAGGGAAGCAGCTCCCTCCCTCCGGATCTTGGGGGTGAGGAGGACAAAGTGAAAGCTGTAGGTACCCACAGCCTTGCTCTTGGCTGTCTCCTTCTTAGTTGCTTCCCCTACAAGCCTTCCTCCCCCCGCCCCCATTTCCCCAGATGCCAGGTCCCTCTTCCAGTCCTACAGAATAACCTTGGGTTGGTAACTTAAAATTGCAGATTCCATTCAAGGGTCCGTTGAAGGGTCACAAGAGTAGACCCTGAAGTCTCCTCTATTGAGAAAAGCTGATAAAGGCCTAACTCCAACCTTTGTCTGCTTTGGTCATTTGGCACAATTTTTCTGACCTTATTTCAGCAGGCACTTTAAATCAAGAAAAGATAAAATAGTTTGGTTAGCACACAGAGCCAGTGCTTTACCCCAAAACCCCTAATGGAGGAGTAAGACATGGTCCCTTGGAGGAAGTCAAACAGAAGGAAGAGTACCCATATCTGAGCCAGTTCCAGAGACATTTGGACACTGACAGAGTCCTTCAGACCCCAAAGTTTCCATAGACCCAAGAAGGGGGTACCCTTAGGGCTCTGGAATTCTCACAACTCCAAGGGAACTCCCTCCTTCCCTGACCCATCTTATGAGGAAAGTCTCTCCTTGTCTTTTATTGTAATGTAGCCTGCCCCTGCCCAGTATCAACAGGGGAATAAAAAAAAAATGGTACGAGGTATGCTATGTCCAAGATTATATGGCCTTATATTAAAACCTTTCCCTTTATAGGGGGACCACCAGATCCCAAATAGGAAAATAATTCTCTGCTACAGGAAGTGATATCTGTCCCTCAGCAGGAATATGCCTGTTATTCCTACAGATCCATTACATGGCTAATTTATAACAGATTGCCAGATGTGTCCAGCCTTTCCAGGAAATTCTAGATGATCCCTAGCTCTCCTGTTCCCCTCTGCCATTTGTTTTTCTTTTGGGGCCTATTTATGGTACAGGTCACAAATGGCTTTATGTTCCATGTGAAAGCCTTCTGGAAAAACCATGTAGTCACAGGAAATGCTGCAGCTATGATGGAGCCACCATGCCTTCTTCAAGAGGTCTGATCCCATAGCAACCATCTTTGTAATTATGTTGGGATGGCAGGCATGTGGTTGACACATCTTGCCATCCTTTAGGGAGAATTGTAATTAACTGTGGTTAAAGGGGCTGAATATTCTAAATTAATATTGTTTTTATATATATTATTTTTAATGCATTAGTCTATCAAGGATTAGGCAAAAACTTCATTTGGCTCTGGAATTTAAAAAAAAGCAAGTGACTGATTTGAGCCGGCTGGTCAACCCTGGACAGGGAGGAATGATAGAACTGATTCCCTGCAGCTGCTGGAATTACTTTATTCTGGAGAACTTTTCTTATCTATCTACTTTGCCCAGCATCAGCTAGTGGTAAGGCAGAAAAATGAGTATCCGGACTAAAGGGACCCTGAAACATTTGGGTTCATTTGAAAACTTTGTGCTGACAATTCACAGAAAAGGGATATAAGAACAGAGAAACTAGGGTGTTGGAAATCTTTTATAGACTAAGAATAAAACTTGCTAAGTCTAATTTGCCCCTGAGGAAAAAATCTAGCAAATCTGCTACTAAGATTAATGGCATTGTTTTTGTGTGTCATTGTGCATATTTTGTGTATGTCTATTAGTCTGTGTCTCCTAAAAAATAACTGAGCAATATACTTATGGCCACTAAATTAAATTTTTGCATTTTCTGAGCTCATCTTTGTATGCTTAAATTGACATTTTAGCATGCCTAAATTAGAATATCTGTGTAATTGTCTTTGGGATGGTTCTTAAACTTTTGTTATAAAGTTAAAATGTAAAAATTATTGTCTCTTCAAAAAACATTACCTATAGTTTGTATCTTAACTAGGTCTAACTAAAATAGAAACATTCAAAAGTTATCCTCTGCCTTTGGTCTAAAGGAAAAATTTATGGACAGTAACCTTAATCTGTTTCATTCTGTCATAAGTGTAATTTGCATTCAACTCTCATTTATAATTAGATTTATTAACAAGTGTGTTTTGTAAAGTGCTATATATAAAAAATAGTTTAAGACTGTTTTTCTTCCTGTGTCTTCTTTTAAAGCATAGGGTAGAGTATTTTATTAAAAACATTACCTAAAATTCAAAATTTTATAAAGGTTATTTCAAGATGTAAATTAAAGAGATCTTAGTAAGATTACATGTGCGATTATTCTGACTATAATTTAAAATTTACCTAAAGAATTTTCTAAAGTCAAAATATAAGGTTAAAATATAAGGTCTTAGTAAGATTACATGTGTGATTATTCTGGCTATAATTTAAAATTTACCTAAAGAATTTTCTAAAGTCAAAATATATTAATTTAAACCTAATTTCCTATGTCTAAAGAAAAGGTTTTTGTTTTATCTAGGTAACTGACAGGGATAAAACAAAATTATGCAAAACCAAATAGAAGCAAAACAGGGATGGGAGGGTGGGCACACTTGAAGGGGAGTGCTGCACTGGTTCCTACGACTCAAGCTTTTATTGCTGTCTGTAGATGGTTAATTCTCAATGACTGAGCCTGTTATTTTTGGGCTGCAAGTACGTCAGCAGAACTCTGCTGTATGTGCCTAGCCATTCGGTTAATGTCACTAGTCTAGGATGTGATTTCTTATAAACATCCAAGCTATCAGGTTTATCAATGAGGGTTGATGAGGATCAGTAACTTTTTTTGTGTTCTCTATTGATTTTTGTCAGGATTTTGACTACTAAGGAAACTGAGTTTAAATTATTGTAAATTCTTTCAAGTGTCTTAAAAAAAATAAACCAAAAATGACCACTTCATAACTGTGGTTAAACAGCTATTCTTTTAAGTGGTTCTAGTATAGCTAATGCCTCATATGTATCGGTGAATAAAGATATGTGGAGCTATATACTTAAACTATCTAATGTTGTACAACATTTACAGAGTTAAAAGTATGTACGTTTAGTACATGTAAAATAGACAGCTAGAGCTCTCTTTATCTAAGGTGCATTGTATCTAACTGTCCTACATATAAAAATGGTAAACAGGACCTTTGACATTTCTGGTCAATGCTAAGAGCCTGCCATTTAGGTGGTCCTGACATCTGTTTACCTTGACTAGATAAACACTGTCATATATGTGGTATGCAATTAAGCATTAAAAAAATAGGGGCTATTTGGGATTACTGACACTGCCTTTCCCTAACTGGTAGAAAATCTAGGGTTTTGTCAGTACCTTAAACCTGTTACCTTACCTAACCAAAAATTCAATGTTTAAAGTGTGATGCTAACTATTGCTGGCTCTTCAAATGTTAAATGTATTTGTGTTCTCCAAGCATACAAGCCTTCTAAAATGCAAGGTTGTGAAAAATGTAACAACAACAACAACACACTACCATGCTGGTGCCTTCCAAATTAAAAGTGTTAGTGATGCTAGCCTTTTGCAAGTTTGTGCATGTGTAATAAGAAAGGCTTAATAATGGTGTATACAATGGAAGTAATTTGACTGTCCTGTCAATTGTTAAACTGTTTTTCAAGATTTTAACCATGGTTATTTTAAGTTTGTCATTGAAGAAACCCATAGAAAATGACTCTGACAAGTACTTATCTGTCAACTGAATCAGACATTCTAAGTATTGGCATTGCTTTGTACTTTCTTTGTAAAACTTTGTTAACTGTTGTCTGTTGACATTTTGCAGTATTTTTAAGATGTCAGGACATCCTCCAAAGAACAGATAAAATTATACTTAAAAATGGATTCCAGGTGAGTTCTGTCTAAAAGCCACTTGTTTAAAACCTCCCTGTTGCTTACATTTGGCCATTGTGATCCACACCCCTCACCTACTATTCTCCCTTATTATATCCTCATGTGCTGCCTGGATTCTTCCATGTGGGACACAAAGAATCTAGGTGTCTCCTGATCAAAGACTACACAAGACTATAACATTATGGGTAATTGTGGTGAGAGTTCAGAAGAAAAGAAGACTAGCAAACTCACCTCAGACAGAAACTAGGATTTTACTGAAAAGTGGAAAAGAGACCATCTGTCACACTGTGGTAATAACTTGGCTGCATCGTGCCAATGCCCTAAGATTTTATGGAAGGCTGAAATTAAGAGTGATGGACCAGCTTATTTGAGGGAAGAAATTTCAAAACACCAAAGCATTCAGGCTGTGGCGTGCTTTTAATCAGATATACAGTAAGACTCAGAAGCAAAAGGAACTAGAGCAAAAAGATGTGGAAATGTGCAGGCTGGCCAGGAAAGGAGCAAAGATAAAACATGTAAGAGTGTAACTAAGAAAACAGTTGATAAAAAGGATACCAGGTGCTTTAAAGTCAGGACAAAAGGGGTAATTTCAGGACTCTTCAAAGCTGGCTCCCTCCTATTACAGTGCTCAAGAGACATTCCACTGTTTATTGGAATCCAGAGGGCTACCTTGGGATTATACTTCTTTTTTCTAGGTAAAAGCCCCATGGCTAAACAGTTCAAGCAAAGGCTTGTGCCAGCTTTTTTGCTAGCAGTTTGAACCTTCATGGAATGCATGTGGTGCTTGTTTTGCAAGCATTGATGTGGTCTTATAGGAATTCTACTGAGATTTTAAAGTTAAGTTGGGAAAGGCCAAGCGAAGTTTGCCACAGGAATGGAGCCCCGCAAAGACAGCACCCAATGGAGTGACTGTCTATGGCAACTGTGGGAAGAGAGTTGCAGTGGCAAACCACAAAGGGCTACCAAGCAGCATGAACTAGCCAACCAAGAAAGCACGGATCTTAGCATCTATTCGGAAAAAGTAGCAATACTGGACCCATTGAAAGCTATAGGAGAAGGCTATAGGAGAGAGGCCCCATCTCAGTCTCAGAATGCACAAGATACTTGGAGGCTTAGGAATTTAATGTCTTTTCTACTTGGATTTTGGTTGTTTGCTATTGGCCAATTACTTTTTTTCCCCCCCTGTTTTTTTTTTGTTGTTGTTGTTGTTGTTTATTTTCTTTTTTTGGTGCACTTGGATTGAACTCAGGGGTTCATACTTGCAGGCAGGCACTCTACCACTTGAGCCATTCTGCCAGCCCCAATAATTACTCTTTTTTACTTTCCTGCTCCTTCTTTTTGGAATA